GGGGCTCTCCCCTGGGCCCCGCTGGGGAGGATGGGGCTTGGGACTCCGGGGGTATTTGGGGGGGGGGGGAGTTGAAGAAGAGCCATGATCCACCTTGTCTCTCCTTTCCTGCTGGGGAGGAGGGGGCTTTGGGGAGGGGGAGACGGTGGGGGGGGCTCTCCCCTTGGCCCCGCTGGGGAGGATGGGGCGGGGGACTCCAAGGGGTAATGGGACGGGGGGGGGTCGGGAAGGTCTAAGATCCATCTTTGCCTTGCTCATCCCAGACTGAGGCTTTCCCTGCTGGGGATGATGGGGCTTTGGGGTGGGGGTGGTCTTTCTCTTTCTCCCCGAAGGCCCTTGGCATCGCCTTGGCCCCGCTGGGGAGGATGGGGCTTGGGACTCCACGGGTACCGAGAGGGTAATGGGAGGGGAGCCAGGAAGGTCATGGCTCCACCGTTTTTCCTTGCTCGTCCTTATCTGTTTTTTTCCTGTTGGGGATGATGGGGCTTGAGGTTTTGGGGGGACAGTCGTTGGGGTCTCTCTGTCCCCAACCCCGAAGGGGCTTCTTCCCAAAGCTCCTCAGCTTTGCCTTGGCCCCATTCATCCTTATCTGTCCTGCTGGGGATGATGGGTTTGCGGGAGCTGGGGGGGGAATGTCTCTCTCCGAAGCCCCACCTTGGCCTCGCTGGGGATAATGGGTCTCCAGAGGCACCGACGGGAGGAGGGGTTAGGAGGGGAACCAGTAAAGCCTCAGCTCCACCTTTGACTTGCTCATCTGTGCTTTCCTGCTGGGGATGATGGGGCTTGGAGCACAGCTGATGGGTTGCCTTCTTCCCTGGCGCTGAGGGTTTTTCCTCTCTTTGAAGCCTCTCAGGTCCACCTTTGTCCTGCTCACCCCTGACTGGGAGGCCTTTTGCTGGGAATGATGGGGTTTGGGACTCCGGGACGACCATGGGGCTCTTGGAGGGCATCTAGGAGGCTTTAGAAAGCCAGGGCGGAAGACTTGGACACATCAGGAACGCAGCAGGCATGGTGTGACTTGAGTTCCTTGCGCTCTTTTTGTTTCAATGTACATTTATTAAAAGTTCCTTCCTCCTCCCATAAGATAAAAGACACAAACGAAAGAAATGGCAAGAAATAAAAAGAAACTAAAGGTTATATAAGTGACATCCAATTTTCTTCCCAAAGATCTCACTGTCTTTCCTTCCTCTTAGATTTTTATACAAGTAATACAATCCCCCTCTCATCCATTTCTGTTTTAATCTTCAGATCCATAAATCATCATATTCTTTCTTTGTTCTTTCAGCAAAAAAGTCCACAATGTTTCCAGTCTTTCGGGAAAAATATATATATATATATTTTGGGTGTTTGATTTCTGACTATACAGATCAGTTTTGTCATTTGCAAATTCTTTCAATTTTCACTATGGGTTCCCCCCACTGTGAGGACTTCTCTTTCCATATACCCTCCTTCTCCTTCCTTCCTCTTCTTCTTTCTTCTTCCCTTCTTTCCCTTCTTCTCCTTCCCTAGCTTCTACCTTCTTCCCTTCCTCTAATACCTTTATTTTTTTTCCCCTAACCAAACAACCAAAAAAGGAAACTGTTTTTTTTTTTTAAAAAAAGGCTATAAACCCAGAAGAACAAGAATCAGTAGCCCCGATTTAACCATGAATTCGCTACTATCCTCAGCAAGGTTGTTAAAAATATCCCAGAATCTCTGCTCCTTGTGGCTTTTTGTATATTTCCACCCAAGTTCTTCAGGGTGAGGTGGGGTAAGGCGCTTAGGGGGCCTGTCTGTTCTGGATCTCCCCATTGGATGACATCATAATTCACATTCTAGGCTTTCTCTTCCATGGTGGGCAAAGGTGTGGTTAGATCACAGAGAGCCTTCTTTGCTGATCCATGGGCATTTGGACTTAAGAGGAATCCAGCACGTTTAAAAGACATCTTCAATTCCTACCAAAGCAGAAGCTACTACAAATAGCCTGGAGGCCTGCCTGATGATTGATTCTGATGACAAGTTTTCAAAACAATCACTGTCTCTCTTCAAAACACCAACCTGCACCTTCTGAGCAATACAGCCTCCTCTAATCTCTCTCGTCTATCCCCGTGACTCTTGTCCTGAGCATTTAGACCAGAGGCTCTTCAAACTTGGGCAAGTTTAAGACTTGTGGACTTCCAGCTCCCAGAATTCCTCCTCCTTCCAGTCATGTTAACTCAGGAATTCTGCGAGTTGGAAGTCCACAAGTCTTAAACTTGCCAAGTTGGAAGACTCTTGATTTAGACAAATGGCCCTGCCATAATGTGTAGGCTGAAAGACTGTGAAGTTACCTTCAACAGGTCACCTGGGATTGCCAAAATTGTCCTTCCAGGCAGTTTATGAGAGAAGCTAGTAGCATGGATTGTAAAAACTGGGATTGGTTTCTCTTCACTTCTTCGATTAGTTAACTTGACAGGTAGTCTAGTTTTTTGTTTTTAAAGGGTCTTGCTTTATGTTCTGTACAGATGAATGACCTTGGAAGCCAGTGAAGCAACGACTTGGGAAAGTTTTAATTTTTCTGCTTTCGTGACTCTTCGAGACTGTTAAGGTCTTCAGAATCTGGAGAATTTTAAAAGCCTCCTTGACTTGCAGTAACAACACAAAGGGCTATTGTGTTGTTTAAGCAGGTCTAGGCTTAACGAGTTTGGGGAGCAGTCAAAAATCTGCAAGACCCTTAATGCAGATAATTTTCTGGAATGCACTTCAATGGCAGGGGCTTTTTTATGAGGCTGATGGCGTCACCGAGAATTTTCTGGCTATCTAAAACATAGTTTGCGGGTCTCTTCGTTGAAGGACATGATTAAATAGGGGTATTTATGAGGTATTTATGGGGTATTTATGATAAAACACCATTGCATGATGTTTTATTGCATTGCATGATCTCAAGGGTTTTTTTTAATTGCCTGTTTTAAACTGCATTCGGGCACTGCTGCTTGCTTTGATACTGTGGGTGTGAATGAAAGCAATGCATGAATAATTTCCAAGCTGAGAATTTTAAGAACAGGAGGAGTAATTAAGTAATGCTTGTCTTTGGGTAATAGGAGTTTCCCTTTGGGAGAAAGAATGCTTGCTCTTCCTTTTCCTCCGTGCACATCTCTTGGCTATGAACAAAAGTACTCTTCCTTTCGTAGATGCTTTCCTCCTTCGGGAATTCACAAACGCAAAACATTTGGTTTGGTTTGCAAGTTAAGGATTGAGGACCTTAAGGTGAAGATTAAATGCACAGAGCTGATGGATGCAGCATGTTGATCATATAATGCAGGACCCATCTTGCAATAAAATCTTTCAAATAATATATCGTTGCATGGACCATAGTACAATGTATGATTTCAAATATTTCATACCACTCTTCCGTACAAAGGATGTTTTGCAGTAAGGGCAGCCCATTAAAAAACCCAAGTTTATGGGAGGCTAATAATTAACGTTTTCTCTCCATTGTACCACAGTAACTCCTTCAATAAGAAAGATGTTGCCAATGAGGACGCCAGGTTGCTCTGGGCAATGCAGCAAGCATACCCTATATAGTACAAGGAAAGTTAATTTTATGCTTTAGTAACCCCTGCATGGCTTTCAGCCACGACTGTATTGCTATGACAGGGAAATGCAACTGACAGGCAGTAAATTAGGTCTAAAAAGTCACCTTAACCCTGCACGGCTGTGTGCAGGTCTGAAGGACTGAACGCAGTTGGGGATATTTGGAGGAAACCTGTACAAAATGGACCCATAACTATTTACGTAATTATCAGATTTTAATTGGAAGCAGGCCAATAATGACAGCAGGGTGGATAAAAATCGATTCCGTAAAAAAAAATTAATTTTAAAACATGGTTTTTTTATTTAAATTGGGTTTTTTAATTTTTTTTTTAATCAAATTTATTTTAATAAAATGCTTTTGGAGTAAAAGTCTATCTAAAGATAGTTCTGTGTTTAAGATACATTAATGATTTAGTTTATTCAGCATGAAACGGAGCTTAGTTATACTGTAGCATGAGGCTGTATATTTTGCAATGTGTACAATTTTTGGTATTCAATGAATCCAAGCTCTGCACGCTGAGATAACATGCCCTGCGTTGAGACATTCACACAATTTCACAGCAGAGATGACAGTTGCTCTTTAAAGATTTAAGATTGAAACCGAGTTGATTTAAATCAAGCCTTTTTACTAGTGATTTAAATCATGATTGAAATCGATGTGATTTAAATCAAATCCACCCTGAATGACAGAGAAGCTGGAGAGGGCTTGGCGTTCTCTGAGCTTGGCTGTTTTCTTGCAGACATTTCATGAACCAAACTAGGTAGCATCATCAGTGTTAGTAAGGAATGGGGCTTTTCTCTCACTGCCCTCACTAACACGGACAGGGCAAACCCCTAGAATATAAACTGAGAGCAAACTCCACTCCTTATTAGCACTGATGACATTACCTAGTTGGGTCATGAAACGTCTGCAAGATAACAAGCCAAGCTCGGAGAGCCCCAAGCACCCCTCATTTCAACCCCGAGCTACAAATATTCTCCTTTATTG